TAAGCAGTGCACAAGCTCACCAGACTGTTTCAGGTTTGATCCTTGCCTTGATCCCTAGTTTGGTAGATTCAAATAAAAATACTCACTTTGACAAACAAAAAATACATGCCAATTGACAATTTAATGTAATTTTTATGCATTGTATGTTAATAGTCGTTACCTGAATTAGCAGAAGCACACCATCCTGAATAAATTTTCTAGTTAACTGAGAGCTCTTTTATACCACACGGTATTTTTTTATCAGTATTTCTTATGAGACTTTGAAATATTTTCTACTTGAAATATAACAACACAACTCATTTTAGATAATTAGATAATTATTTAGGTAATAATTAATAATTTTAAATAATAATTTTAGATAGTAGGTAATTTCTTGCGTTTCACTTATGCTGGTGAACTCATTATTAAAGGGCAAAGACAGCATTTAGCACTAGGCATATATATCAGAACTGGTTTGGGTTTTTTATTTTTTATTAGAAACTTAAAAGCAGTATCAACAATGTCATTTATGCTCAGGTTATTAAGATAGCTTAAATATTGACAACTATAAGTATCTGGAGTGACACAAAGGATCAACAGCAAGAACCAACAGGAAAAAAAGTTGAAGTCATATTGCTAGTAAAACTACCAGACAAACTTTAAACACCAAGAAAACAGTATTTCTGAGAAAGCAGCAGAAATTATTCTAGAAAAGTTGAATCACTCCCTGAAGTTTCAGTATACAATCAAACTAAAACTGAAACAGTCACATGCAATTTTGATCATATGCAGGAAATATGTTCCTTATCTAGTGTGAATATATAAGCATGCTTATTTCAGTGTTTTCCTAAATCCTGTGTCTCTTTGTTATCTCATCTGGTGACATTTTTTATACTACTGAAATATTATCAAATCAGCTTTTATGTTTTGACTCTGAATGTAATGTAAAAGATAATTAGTCTTCAAATGAAAATATGTTTCTCCCCAGCAGATGCAGATCGCACACCACAATTCCACTAGTCTGACTAGGTAATTTTCTTCTGCCTAATACAGACAGGACAGCGGAATTTTTTTTTCAAGCAGACACAGTCAACTATTAAAACAAACATCATCATCATCATAACACCACCATTTAACAGTTTTATCACACTCTTCATTATAAAACATTGCTTATTTTAACCAAGTAATTCTTATCAACTCTGTTACACCTTCTCTAAATTTCACACACAAACAGCATTCTGTATTGCTACACATACTGATTGCTAAATGTGCTGACCAAATAGATGACAACATGAAGAGACAGCATAATATTAAATGAGGAGTAAAAAATGTACAAGAATAGAAAGGAGGACAAAAATAGAAATGCAAAAGGTGAATGTATTTAAGTTTGTCTATGTATTGTAATGTATATGTTATGTACATGTATTGTAAGAACAGTAGCTACAGAGAACTATAACCAGAAAACATGGTGAGCAAAAGGTAACTGTTTTTTCAATTTTTCAACTTGTTTTTCCAATTTTTCGACTCGTTTTTCCATTTTTTTTCAAACAGAGAGACTGAAAGTAAATAAAAAGTGGTGAACAGTATCAAAGGTGACCAAATCAGTCAAAAGAAGACAGGGAAAGACATGAGGTGTGGAAAAGAAGTAGGAAAGAAAAAATAATCACAAAAGGTGTTAAGAAAATAACACCTTTTTCAGTTTCAGAGACAGAACAGCAGTTTCAGAGATAGAACAGCAAAAAGGTTAGAAATTCAAAAAATCTTAAAAACAAACAAAAAAAACTAAATAAAGAAGATGAGCAAAAGTATGAGAACCCTCAGCTATTTGGCTAGAAGTCTCTCACTGATTGATTCTGTTCCACTGCTGTAATTGCCGTGTGGATCCACAGTGGAAAGCAGCACCACACCTTTCTACACAAGCTTCCCCACTGGTTCCTCTTGAGCACAGTTAACACTACAGTCACATAGTTTGATCCAGCACATGGTATCCTCAAATGTTTTTTAAATATATATAAATATATGTAAAGTCAGTTCCTACAAACTTAACTGTTTAGAAGGCAACTTTTTTCAAGAAACAATTCCTAGGCAGTTGCAGCAACCTTTCCTTCACCATTCTGTTTCACTTATTCCAAACAGTTATCTTTCTCTCCTAGATTTTGTACCTGGACACAGTTGCTTTGATTTGGTGGTGACTCAGTATAGCAAAATCATCCACCTTGTATTAGAAATAGCACTTCCTATCACAAAGAAGAAAAACAACAGAGGAAAATCGGACAGCATAGGCACATAAACCCTAGAGGAAAATCCAACAGCACAGGCAGACAGAAGTTTAGAAGCTATATATAAAAAGTTAGTTCTTGTTTTGAAAGTTTAGAAGCCACATTTAATAAGCTGGTGCTTGTTTTGAAACGATAAGCAAGATCAAAGCAAAGCTCAGTTTTCAAGGTGTAGCAAAATACATCAGTATCCTTATTTTAATCACAGTTGTAATATGAGCTGCTATCAGCTCTCTGACTTCTCTGTTTATTATCGCTTGCCTTCTCACCTCCCTCTTCCCAGTCAACGTCTTTATTTCTATTTCTCTGCTATCTTCAAGGTTGCCTTACTTTTCCGTTACATGCTTTTCTCTTTCTCTTGCGTATCTCTGAAGCTACTTTAAGTTCTGTATAATGCCATTTCTTCTATAAGCGGACACAGGTAAAAATCAAGAATTCTCATAGAAGAGAATTGTACCACCTACACTGAGTAGGAATATCAGTGGTAAGTCAGGGCTGGAGACATAGTGCAACCAATTCTGAAACCAAATAATGAAGCTCAGCTAGCACCAGGGAGGTCCCTCACTCTTTTTCTCCTCTATTCTCTTACCTGTAACTGTATTGAAAAAGTCACCATTGCAATGGGAAAACTTCTAGGTAACATAAACAATTCCAAACTCAATGAATAGTCAGTGGTTTACTCTGAAATATAAGATTGTTGTTATGCCTCTTCCTTACCATGTGGTTAAGTATCTTGCAAATGCAGTGCTGTGAATCTGCACTGGATCTCCATGAATTATTGATACTTATAGATATTAGAAAACAATGGTTATGCTTGTCTTTAATTTTAATTCATGTGTCTACTCACAGACCTTGCTCTAGAATTAGTGTTTGAAAAAAACAGTGAGTATCTTAAGTTTACACATCAGTTTTACATTTCTATCACTGCAAAGTACATGCAGAAGTTCTCTCTCACAGACTGTGGAACACTTGGACAACAACATCCTCAACAGAAAAGGAGTTTTATCAGTGCAAAGAGATTTTGTACTAATTAAGCTTTCTCCTATAGAAAGAGATTAGGATTGGTATAACAGCATAAGGCACTTTTAAACCTATTGTTCAGGTATAACAGAGGATCTACCATCCCCTTTTAAATGTACCATTTAAAAACTGCTTCAAAATGCATACAGTCTGGTTTGTACTAGTGTTATTTGTACCATCATTTGTACCATCATTTGCTCACAAATTCCCAAGGCAATAAAATTTTTTCTTAAAAAAATCATCATCTTAGCATAAAATGATTGTAAATACAAATGCTACATATACACCCAAATACACACTGACATACAGAAATATAAACAGAAATGGAATTACCTGGTGTTTTTTTCTTAAAAAAATCTTCATCATCTTAGCATAAAATGATTGTAAATACAAATGCTACATATACACCCAAATACACACTGACATACAGAAATATAAACAGAAATGGAATTACCTGGTGAAACAGTTTATGCTGTCTCTATCTATTTAAATCACACCATTCTAAAGCACCACACCATTCTAAAGCACAACACCACAGAACACCTTTCCTAAATTCTCCAAACACCTTTCCTAAATTCACCAAAAAAAGATGTTCACCAAAGAACATCTTTCCTAAATTATGTAACCCAGTTACAAAATAAAAGTCGTGAATTAAAGGCTGCTACTCGGCAGTTTTTAGCTAATCATGGAGCTGGTAAATCATCCACCCACAACAATGCACTTTGTGGACATTTGTCATATACTTGCAAGGCCCATACTAAGGCAACATATCACAGGAGCTGGCAGTCATTCTATCAAGAGAATTTGGCTACAGAAACAGCAATGATTCATCATGCATTTTAGAAGCACTGTTGAAACACGAAATCAACACACTACTATTTTAATGCTTTAAAGGTTACAAGAGCTTTTAAATAAAATCATAAATTTGTTTTCAAAATCAAGACGAGCAAAAAAACTCACAGTTCTAATAATGCATTTAGAAGTGTATCTTTATTCACCTTTTTTTCCCTCAAGGCATAGAAAACAGCTATTTAGTGTCAGCTAACTACTTACCTCTCTACATTGTAATTTAAATTGTAAACTCAACCTTGTTGAACAGGTCTTTTGCAATAGATTAATTAAAATTCACTGATTTAAAACCAGTTTTAATTCGGCTGTATTCAGGTTTTTAAATCCTCTGTAGTAATTTTTTAAATAATCATCACATTTTAATTAATTGAATTAATTGAAATCTATACTACAAATGGATGATTTTCGAACTCACTCTGAATGAAGAGTCAACAAAACAATCCAAATATTTTGTTTCAACACGCACATCACATTTACTGTTGTCCCAAAATCTACCATGAAAATTGTCTCTCACCTACGAGTATCTGAAAATAGTGCTTCAGGTCCTGTCAAAAGCTCTCAAGGTCTGTATTTCTCTGCATCCTTGAAAGAACACTTCTCTTTCTTCCTTAGAAGAACAATCCTTAGAATGTTCCAGTTAAATACAAATAGACGAAAATTCTGTCTCCTGAACACAGACATCTAGAAAGGTTATTAATTTCTTGCCATTTTAACTACATAGTAACTCTGAAACTTTATCTTGTAACATCCATTTACTACCTTCTTGTTGAAGCCACTAAATAACATCTCTACCAAGCTTAAGAAGGCATAATCAGGAAGCTATTTGGATCTTCCGCCCTTTGTCCCATTACACAAACTGACATCATGACTGCTTACCTGCTGGAAAACAACTTCATCCTGCTTCATTTTCTTTTTGCTGTTTTTTTTGATCCTCTGGTTTGTCTGAATCCATTTTGTGACCTGGAGTTCAAAATCATGGTGCTTTTTAGGTAGAAGATGCAACCTGATTGTAGTTACTCAGCATTAGATATCTATACAGATACTCAAGACAACTTTTTTCATTGCTTCACTGGAAAGAAAAAAGCACTTTTCCTCTCCAAAGTGATGTGGTCTGAGGTAATCTGGTTATTACCTGTACATGATCAAAGTGTGAGGTGATGTTCTTCATCTTAGAGCTTTTGGTTTAAGGGGCTTTGCACAAAGAACATTTTGATGTCAGACGAGGTTGCCAAATGGGAAGTTATAATTGCAATGTGAAAAACTCCTGGAGAAAACCTCTGCGCTTTATCCCTTACACCTTCTATTTCAAGTAAGAGATTTATTTCCAGCCACCTACTCGAACATTGGTCCAGACTACCAATGCCAAATTTGGATGGCATGGTTATTGTTTAATAAAGTAGTAACACTTGGTTGGGCTTTCCCCCCCATATTATTTTTTTTTTAATTGTTAATACTAAAGAAATTACTTTTTAAAACAAAAGCTTGGCAGGGTGGGGATGGTGTGTAGGGTTGAAAACCCCAGGAGCAGATCTGCAAAAAGCGGGTGCAACATAACAGCTGTCAAAGGGTTCCTCCTCACCTCGCCGCTCACTTGCTGGACGAGCTGACACTCCTTCCACGTCTCTCCCTCCTCCAGCAGGGGCTACACGGGGGAGAAAGGCACGGTGAGGCGCGATCGCCCGCGGAGGATCCGCGCTCCGCTCCGCTCCCCGGGGCCCCGCGGCGGCAGGCGGGGGGAAGCGAGTCCGCCGCCGCCAGCCCCGGGAGCCGCGCCCGCTCCTTCCCGCCTCGTCCCGTTCCGTCCCACGCCACGCGCTGCTCCCGGGCTCGGCAGCGGCACACCGCAGCCCTCGCTAGGAAATGAAACACCTCCGCAGGGTCCCCCGCCCCCGCGACCCGGCCCCCGGAGCCCCGCGGAGAGGAGGAGCCTGCCTTAAAGACGTCAGGGCCCGCCGGCTCCGGGGCGGCCCGGCCGGGGCACCGCGCTGAGACAACCCCAGCGGGGCGGCCGCGGGCCCGACCCGACCCGGCACGGCTCGGCCCGGCCACACTCGCCCCGCTCCGCCCCGCAGGTGCGGAGCCCGGCCCGGCCCGGCCCGGCCACTGGCGTTATTCTTGCCAACCCGCGCTCCCTCCGACAGCGTCGCCGACGGGACGGCCATTCATAACATCCACATTCATGCTCGTCACGGTTTGCAGCCTAATTATCAGCGATACGCTCTCTTCAAGACCCTTACTATGGAAGCCGCTTTCCTATGAACCCTCCTATAAACAAGCTCTGTCACAGGTCTTTACGGACAGAGGAATGGTCTGGTGCAGGCAGTTCAAGAAAGCATAATCACCACTAACTGCTTCAACATTGATACTTGCTCTCGCCTCCAGAATCCTACTACTAAACTACCGTGGAGGGTCTGAAATGCCCGTGAAAAGCAAGATCCAAAGCAGCTTTGTAGGTATACTGCACCACAGCAAGCCCTTTATCGAGGCCTTGGCTAAAGGCTTGCTTTATTCAACGAGATACCGTGAGCAGGTAATTAAATTTAGGCATAGGACTTCAGGTATTCTTGCACCCTCAGAGGAGGATATTCAAACTCCAGCATGTTGGGAGATACTTATGTCAACCATGCAAAATCCAAATTATAAATCCTAAACCAGGATTTTATCAAGTGCTTTTGTGTTTATATTTTAAAAATGTGAGGCAGTAAATGATAGAGTGCATAATACTTGTTATAGTTAAAACGATATTACAAAAGTCAGTATTTTAAAAATTATTGATAGCCTTTTGAAAATTATTTATACTCTTATACTATATATTGCTATAGTCTCTGAAACTTTCAAAAGGAAATCTGTGCTCTAGCAAAAGAATAGGGCACATTACAGCGTGTAAGCAAACCCTCAATATATAAAATGAGATGTATTTTGTAAACAGATAAGTAAATAAAGATAGATCCAATAAGTGTGTATTAAATCTTGAGAGTATCCTCTTATCACCTGGAAAAAAAATCTCTCCTAGCCTTTTGTTTTACTGCCACAACATCCTTCTTTCAAGATCAAAAGCTTTAGATCAAAGCCGAGATCAAACTCAATGCTTTAAATAGAAGCAATTTCACTATGAAGCATTAAACAAAGAAGAACTTTTTAACAGAGATATCACAATAGAAAATCTTACTGTAGTTTTTTATTTCACACTTACAACAGATCTACTTGAAACAAGTATAAACAAAATGTTTTTATTTTGTAAAGCCACAACAGATTTTTCTACTAAATGATAATTCTGAAAGTGCCTACAAATTGACTCTTGAACTGAGTGTATTTAAATGAAGAAAGAAGAACAGAACATAGTTGAAAGGCAGTGAAAAAAAAATTATGTTAATGGCAAACACAAATTAATGCAACTGCTTAAACAGTATTTCCTTGGATCAGTTAACAGATTAGACTGCGCATTCCCACAGAAGTAGTTATAGGAAACACTGGACCATAGAAACAATGAAACATATTTATACTTTAAGTCCTTTAAAGAATTGTACTTCCTTTCCCATCAAATGTTTTGAGAAAACTAGGGGGAAAAAACGAGAGACGTTGATTTTCTGACCTGCAGATCTGAAGGCTGATTTGGGATGAAAATCCACAAACACACAAACATACTGTGTGTTCAAACTCAGAGAAGGCTCCTGTTTTCTTGTTAGTAGTTGCATAGCAGTGAAGGATGTTCAAGGGGAATTGTTACTGACTTTTTCTGGTAATGTACTTTGTGGAGCTTACATCTGGGGTTGCCTGGTGCTGATCACTGTGCACATCTTAACTTGAACATGCACCTACAAGATGATAGCACTGCAGTGTAAGGTAAGAACCAACTTACTCATACAGATAGCCTGCAGAAGACAAAAAGCAGTGGCAGAAATAGGATGAGCCTAACAAGTGGTGGTCACAGCACACTGGCAGTGCCTCTTATCAGTCAACTCTTATCTCTGCTTATTGATGTGTCAATAAGATTTAGCTCATAACCAGAGCAGGAACTTTTGCTGAGAGAGGAAGAGGGCAGGGAAGAGGGAGAGGAGTAAGAGGAAAAGAAAAGGGGAACTACAAAAGAAGAGGGAACAAGGCAAAGAAAAGGAGGGGAGAAGAGATGTTTTAGGAACATTTTGTCTCCTACTGCATTCCTCCTTACTTAAAAAGTTTACTTACACCAGATAAAAGGGTGACGTCACACCCAATTTAAAATGGAAATTACTGCATTACCTTCTATCAAAGTCCTGTTTGCTGTCCACATGACACTGGCTGTCATACTTGAATCACTTCACAACAGAACTTTAGAGATGACTCAGTCCTGCATGTCCTTCTTGGGAAGACTGTCTTTCGGAGACTGCTAATAGATCTGTCCTATACAACAGATACGATGGGCAGCAAGCAGTAATACATGTCAAAACATGTCAGGATCCCTCATTCTTGCAGCAGCAGGATTAAATAGAACTGAATTTTGAAATTATGGGGGAAGAGGTATTCTACCAATTGGGTGAATACAGACCAAATATCCTGGACTTAGGCAATGATTTACACCAGCTCTTACTTAAGTCAGACCAGATCCCAAGGGTACAATGAACATGCAGAATCATACATAGCCTAGAAAACAAGAGAATATTTTTGCAGCAAACCCTCTTGCATTTTACATTGAAACAAACTGATTTTAAATTGTTGTGGCTGTGATGGCTACTAATGGTATTTCATAACTCAGTGAAAATTATAATAATGAACTTTTCCTTTATATAGGTTGCCTGTAACTTCAACTCCTCTGTGCTACTCTTATGCAAAAACAACAAGTACTGATAAACTAAGAAGATAGTTTTACCTAAGGTGAACATTTAATCAATACCATTTTGTTGGCTTTCCAACAGTCCTCAGATACTGGAAGGCAAAAAGAAAAAATGGAAAATGCAGGAATAAAAAGCTTTACTGTAAAAGAACTTCAGAAGAGCTCCTGAAAAGTAAAGGAAATTGACAACTAATGCAGTCAAGTCATTTTCCAGCCTCTCATTTCTCGAATCTTAATTACTGAATTTTACATACAGTTTACACATACAACCTCAACATTTGTATATTCAGATCTACATGGACACCAGCAACTACACAGAGAAGTAATTTTCTCCTACAAGATATAGCTAACTTCACCAGTACACAAATTGCAGTTTTGTACCTTTCTACACATTCCCACTGAACAAAAAACAAAATACAGACTCTCCCCACCAGTTTCATTCTGCCATACTAGAATGACACAGACTACTTTCTCAGACATCAGAAAAAGATAATTTAAAGGGAAGTAAAAGGATTATTTCTAGGGGGAAAAAAAAGGTACAGTAGTTTAAATTAGAAAATTAGCTTACTCGAAAACTAAGAATACAATGTGTTCTCAGAATAATCTGTGTGACCTGAAAATTGTTTCAGCAGGAAAAATGTGGCTTCTAATAATTTGTTTAAAAAGAAAATTAAAATACAGAAAAGTATTTTATCCAGTAGCTCATGAAATGATTAAGTATTGCTTGAAACATTTGACTGTGAAACAATTGCAAGGATTTTAAAACACTACTGCTACCAGGACTTTGCAGAGAGACTTAGGAGGCAATGGGCTACATCTGAAAATGACAAGATGGCTCATGCATCCACATTGCAGGAGTATCAGCACCACATAAAAATTACTGAAAAAGAAATCCAACCCAGAACCTCCTCCTGTTAGAACAGCAAGTTCTCCAACTGATTTTGTGCAGTCTTCATGCATACAGCTTTATCCACTGAAATGAAAAATCAATTTTTTCTGACATTATCCATTTTTTAGGAAAGATGCTAATTTATTGATATCATAAATCTAAATGTTGTAATTCCTCTGAGAGTTGCTGTGCTGGTATAAACACACTCTTTTCAGATCAGCATGCTGTGTCTGGTATTTTTCAATGTAACATCCCTCCAGAGAAATTCTGTTCAAGTCAAACCTGCTCCTCCTGAAGCTATCTCTACCTCTAAGAGACAAAAACCTGTTGAAACAATAACTTAGAGGACGTACTTTCAGTACACTGCAACACGATTTCATATATTGTGACAGGAATATTTTTTCAAAGTGGTTATGCAAATATTTCCTTCATATACACACTGGCAACTCTGCTTTGTGAAGAAAGTTCCTAGGTACAGATGAGTGATTGTAACCATCTATTTAGTTGCATGATGAGATTCATAATCTGATAAAGAAAATATCTCTGACCACATGACCACGGGATCTCTAAATAATAAGCTTATTACTTGTTACTAAATAATCTTATATAACATGTAAGAGAAATAATTAATGTATCAGATTATATTATCTAGAATATGCAGGTGTCTCAAGCAAGTTGGAGAGACAATGCCCCATGCCTCACTTGCATGGGAAAACAGACTCTGCTATTGGCAGCAAGCACCTCCCATCTCAAGAGAGAATACACACCATGAGAAAACCTGTGGTTTTACCTGAATTACCTCAGAGAGGACATGAGGAAGTGGGATGGAAAATGAGAAAGGGGCAAAGATAACCCAAATCCTCTTTGGAAGGTTAGTTTTGCTATAAAGCAAAGTAAGGTCAAGGAATCTGCCCAGAAAATTCAGTATTTAGGAGTAAAATGG